TCCTAATCCTGTGCTGCCAAGTAGGTAACAGACGCGGATGGCTATTATGCTGATTTGGATTGCCTTGAGCGCTACATCTGTGTACGTGCAGGAGCCGTTTTCCTACCCTAGACAGTCTGCTTTCTGCTGCGCACCCAGTCACCAATAGCAGGGGCCCAAGGCTATGCTGACGTGCAATTCTTTGTTCTGTGACGCCTGCCCAATTGCTATGGGGCGTCTGGTGCTAGATTCTATACCCACTTCTCATGTGCTATCCTGGTTGTCATACAGCAACGTCATGCTCTGTAATCTTCAAACCTGGGTATGCGGCGTCACACAATTGGCAGGAGCGATGTCTGCGACGCGCCCGCCAAGTCGCAGAACGCAGCCAGCAGCCAAAACCCAAGGTGCCCCCTGCTCAAGGGAATGTTCACAGGATTGCAGATTGCTGTCTGCTGGAACCCTCGTGCAGCGTCTTCGTGACCACCAGATGGCATGATGCAAAGCGGTTGAGCAAAGGATCCTGCGCCGTGGCGAGCAAGCTGTTGAGCAACATGCACATGAAGCAAATTGGATGTGTTCAAAGGCGCGGTGCATTGTGCATCTCCATCATGCATGGGAGCCAATGGGCGACATGGTGGTGTGACCGACAGGTGGGCGTTTGTTGAATGACCTGCCCACAGCCAAGAGTGGCAGCAGGGCGGCGCCCCAAGGTGGTTGAGTAAACGCAACAGCATTCTCCTCGTCTGCGCTGCCGCGATTGCTCCTGAAGTGCAGCACACTGCGGCGGGGCTCATTTGTTTGTGTACAGCGGTGCGCAACCGTGCCTGCGTTCAGCAGCGTGGCTCAGCACAGGCTACTGTTGTGGCAGGACTGCTCAAGTGGGGGTTGGGTGCGGCTTGAAAGCCTACGCGGCAGCACAGCCCTGTATCTGTGGAGGCTACTATCATGTGTTTGAAGGAGAAATCAAACTGGTCAAAGCTGCAGGGGCCCCAGGCCGTTGACCAGCGTCAGGCCGCCCTTCTTGTGCCACCGCGGCTTGCTCGACACAAACACCCAGCTCGCCCACCACGCCAGCCGCTCCCGCGCGTACGCGGCCGCCGCGGCGCCGGCCAGCAGCGCGGCGGCCCAGGCGCCCGCGCCGCTGGCGGCCAGGGGCAGGGCGGCCGCAGCCAGCAGGGCGGCCAGGGCTGTGAGGGCCTTGGACCCCAGCAGGGCGGCGGCAAACACCTGTGGCGGGGCGCGACGGAGCAAGGTTGGGGCTTGGATTCAATGACGGAACGGTAGCCCTGCAGCCGTTGCTGTTCCAAGCAGAACTGAGCGCCCAGGAAGAGCCACATGCGCCGGCGGAGTCGAAATTCCGCCCTGGGCGCCTCACCAGGCCTCCGCCGCATGCACGCAAGGCGCGCCCCGCCCCGCCCTGCCCCGCCCGCCCGTACGCCCCGCGCGTGGGATGCACGCACCCGCTGGCAGGCCGCGCAATCCTTGGTGTGCCTGCGCCACTTGTCAAGCGCCAGCTCCTCGCTGACCGCGGCCGCCTGCAGCTGCGCCACGGCCAGGGCCTCGGGGGTCATGCGGCGGCGCCACATGTCTGCAGCAGAAGCGGCCAGAGGGGGGTCAGCAGTCGGATTTCCAGCTGCTCAGGTACTTGTAATTGTTGAAGTGCCGCTTGCAGAAGCTGGAGTTGGCAGCGGCTTCCGCACCGGCGTCGGCGGACAAAGCACTGGAGTTTGCAGCAGTCGGCTTGTCGCGCACTCAGGCCCCCGGCATCGAGGAAAAGAGGGGCCGCACCCACCCGCGTATCCAGCACCCTCCGCCCACAGGTGCAGCGCCTTGATGCCCTCGTCCGCGCGCGCGAACAGCGAGTAGTCCCTGCGGCCGAGGCCGCGCTCTCCCATGACGCGCGCCTGTCGGGGCGCGCAGTTTGAATCATATCACACCAGGGGATGCATGCATTTGCTCAAACCGGGCGGCTGTCACACGCGTGTTGAGGTCGTTCGTCCGCGGACGCGATGCACGCTTTGCGTGATAGCACGCGCAAATGCATCTGGGTCGCACGCATGTGCATGTGCACCGCCCGCTGAAGAACCCGCCCGCTCTGACCTGGCCGCTCATGATGACTACGTCTTGATCCAGCACCATGACAGCCAGGCTCTGCACGTGCTTCAAAGCGTCCCAGAACCCCAGCGCCGGCGGCAGCGCCGCGAGCGGCCGCGCGCCGCCCCCC